TTAAAGTGAAGTTTATTTGATTTATAAAGTTTTTTAGAAAACTTTGAATTAAAACACTCTAATTGAGGTTATTTATAATTGAATAAAAAGTTTCACATTATTGTGATTGAAAATAAAACAAAATTACAAATTTGTCGTGAAAATAAAAACTTTTTCTTGAAATAATGATGTTACTTGTTCACTGTTTATTGTTATTTGGTTATTAGAGATGGGAGAAAAACAACAATGGACCAATGAGCACTTAAAATGCTTATTGGATACTTGTATTGAAGAAGTAGAGAGTGTTGGTAGAAAAGGATTGAGTTTACAGAAAGATTCATGGATAAGGCTTGGAAGAGTTCTTAAGGAGAAATTTGGGGTTGAGTTGACTCAAAAACAAATGAAAAACGCATATGACAATCTGAAAGCCAAATACACTGGATGGGTATATTTAAAAAACAAAACCGGTAATATATACAATTCTCAAACAAACACTTTTAATTTAACAGCCGAGGAGTGGGATGATTTTAAGAAGGTACATATACATTAATATACAATATATATATATATATATATATATATATATATATATATATATATATATATAACATTTACGTTTGAAGTTGCCAAATATTCTTATACTATTTCTTGTTACATTTGGGTTTAGGGGCATCCGAAAGCTGCTTCTTTGAGAACAATTCCATTGCCTTTTCCAGATCTTTGTGCACGTCTTTTTGATGGAAATAGTGCTACTGGTAATTTTAGGAGTTACTCAACCCAATCATCATCAGTAGCTGGCGCATCCTCCTGTCGTGTTCCACCACTTCAAATCACCGCCACCCCTTTTGATGCAATGGATGATGATGGTGTTGACACTTCTCATCATGAGCCACCACCTTTTGCTGCTTTACCTTCTGCAGCTTCACCTTCTGCTGCTTCACCTTCTGCTGGTTCACCATATACTGGTTCACCATATACTGCTACACCATCCGGTAACCCCAACAAAAGGGCTAAACCCTCAACTCCTGTAGCTCCTAGTGCCTCACCGTCTGCTTCTTCACCTGATGGAACTTCTGTTACTGCTGACGATTTAGCATTTGAAATGAAGAAAGCTCTACAAAGTTTGACTAAAGGGTATACAATTCCTCAGTGTTTAGAGAAGTTAGAGGTCCTTCAGTTAGGCCTACAGATCCTTTACGCTTTGTCGCATATCATATTTTTGGAGGAACCATGAACATGAGAGAGATGTGGATGCATTTGCCCGATGTTCCCGAGATATTACGAGGGTGGCTTGAGATGACGGGTACCAGTTTAGGAGTTTTGAAGGATGGGAAGATTGTTCGATGATTTTCTAGTGTTGAAAGTATTTGTTAAGTCTTTTTGCCCTTGTTGGAACTACTTTGTTAAATGTTTTTTCCTTTGTTGGAACTATTTTGTTAGGTCTTTTTGCCCTTGTTGGAACTACTTTGTTAAATGTTTTTGCTTTTGTTGGAACTATTTTGTTAGGTCTTTTTGCCCTTGTTGGTACTTGAAATATGATTAATGGAATGTTTATTTGATACTTGAAATATGGTTTATGTAATGTTATTTTGGCTTGAAATATGATAAATGGAATGTTTATTTGATACTTGAAATATGGTTTATGTAATGTTTTTTAAAGTTCTACTTTGTTGATTTTAGGTTCATATGGATCACGATCAAAAGTTACTTCTCGTAATTCTAATGTACCTATACATCCGTTATTTTTGGAAGAGGGGTGTGAAACGATTGCGGGATAATGATTCGGAAATGACGGGACACGAATACACATTGGAGTTATTACACCGTAATCGTTTACAATGTGTTGAAGTATTACGCATGTCCCGTGAATCTTTTGTACGACTATGTGCTCATTTTAGAGCAAATTACTCATTAAAGGACAGCAAACATGTATCAGTTGAGGAAAAGATGGCTATGTTTTTTATGATGATCGGACATAATCAACGTTACGTGATTATCAAGCGGAGATTTCAACACTCGAAGCAAACAATTCATAAATTTTTTTATGAAGTGTTGGAAAAAATGATGCTTTTCGCACAAGATGTTATAGTACCAACATCTTTTAATCTGAATCCAAACATTCCAGGACATAATAGGAGGCTACGAAGGGTTTTCAAAGGAGCAGTTGGTGCACTTGATGGCACTTTGATACATGCTGTTGTCCCTGCTAAGAAACAAGACTTATATAGAAGTAGGGGAAAGGAAGATTGCTACCAAAACGTATTGGCAATATGTGACTTCAATATGATTTTTACATTTGTTGTGACCGAGTGGGAAGGGGTAGCGCATGACTCTAGAATATTATCAGAAGCAGTAGCCGATCCACAAGCATCATTCCCGTTTCCACCACCAGGTAATTTTTTGTTTTTTTTAATATTTTCATTCTAATTTGAAAATTGATTAGTGTTTTGCATTTTTTTTCAGACAAATATTATCTTTGTGATGCCGCGTATGCACACACTCGAGGATTTATGGCCCCTTATCGTAATGTGAGGTATTGGCTTGGAGATTTTCGTCAAAGACGTGCATTGACCAATAAAGAAAAATTTAACCATGGACATGCAAAACTTCGAAATGTCATTGAGCATGCTTTTGGTGTTTTGAAAGCACGCTTCCCTATATTGAAGAGGATGGCACCATTCCCGTTTGTGACACAAAGAAACATTGCCATGGCATGCTTCGCACTTCATAATTATATAAGGAAAGAAGGATTGAGTGATGAGTATTTCGCACGATACGATGAACCCAATGTCCCGTTTCGAAATAACAATGTGGCCATTGATGATGATGAAGACGGGATTCCAACACATGGTACTGCAGCAGACCGTGAATATATGACTCAGTTACGTGATGAAATTGCTGATCAGTTGATGCACAATATACATTGAATTGTTTTAAATGAAATTGTTATTGTAAAACATTTTTTTTATTGTATGACTAATTTAGTTGCATGAATTTTATTTTCAATGTTATAAGACTATTATTATTAAAATTTTGGTGTTGAAAAATCATTTTAAGTTTGTAAAATAATTTTATTTAAAATTCAGTTTATTTCAGCAGCCTGCAGACGTTAAAAAACAAACAGTCTTCTTATTGCAGACTGCAGACGTTTGGTCCACCTCTTCTGCTGCAGAGGCTTGCAGATGTGGTCCGCAGACTGCAGACATTTTGGCTTCAGAAAAACAAACAGCACCTAAGACAATAAAATGGTATTATTATTATCCCCCCTCCAACTTTATTTAATCCGATTTTCGTAATTTTTTTTCAAACATTTATTTCCAAACTTTTTTTTTTTTTTTAATAAAAGCCTTGTTATAAAAACTAAAAAAGTTCCAGGTCAATCAAATAGCAAGAATGTGGAATTAGAATCGGATTTAATCGTAAAAATCAAGAACATAACTTGAAATTATGTTTGCATTAATGATAGAACAAATTTATCGACTTCTTATAGACTGGAAATTGTAACACAAAGCATTCCATAACTAGGAAATAACTAAAATGATATAACAAACTATTTATACGCTAGACAAAATGCGGATATCATTGAAATCAAATGGAGTTTGCCATTAAAGCAGACCTCTTTCTATGGGTAGAAACCGTTTCAAGTGTTGAGTGATCAACAACGTGGACCAGTGTGTCATTGCTGTGATCCTAGTGATGGAACAATGTCCGTGCCTTAGAATGTTTTTGTGTAATTTCAATAACTTGCAAAATCAGTTTTCTTAATCTTTCCCTCTTAAGTGATATTTGCATTGGTTATCTTCACTTTAATCTTGTCAATTGTACTCTATACATATCTTAACTAACTTCGAACATCAAGCCACCAAGAAATATCTGACATTATCTTCTCTTTGAGCTTGCTAGCTATAGACTCATATGCGAAGAATGACAAGCATGGTTTTCAAATCATCACCACTAAACTTTGGGCTTCTTAAAAATTACGATTGAAATGTTTGAAGGTTCCATCATTAATCTTTACTCGAAACACAATGCTTTCTCCAGGTTCTGAAAATAGTTGAGAAGTTTTTCACATCATAAAGACCTTTTATATATATATATATATATATATATATATATATATATATATATATATATATATATATATATATATATATATATATATATATATATATATATATATATATATATATGGGTAAAGTGAATATACCTAACAACCTTATATAAGCTTAGGTACCTAACCACATTATACTACATTGTTTTGCATTATATTTCCATTGCAATCATCTAAGGTTCTTAAACTTTATTCCTTAAGTTGATTGACTTCCAAGATTTTCATATATTCACCATTATATTCTTCCTACACCATTTGATTTGTAACGGTAGTATATAAAGCCCACCAGAGGGTCTCCGATAGAAAGACGTTATTTGAAAGAAGCTAATGGTGAAAGTCCAAAGATTTTGGAAGCAATCAAGTTATGAGGTTGAATTTTATTCACTTTGGGTGATTACAATGCAAATATGATACAAAATTATATAGTATGATGTGATTAGGTAGCTAAGCTTATATAAGGTTGTTAGGTATATTCACTTTACCCTATATATATATATATATATATATATATATATATATATATATATATATATATATATATATATATATATATATATATATATATATATATATATATATACCGTTTACCCGCGCCAAGCGCCGGGTGCGGATATTTTATTCAAAAATTAAATTGTAGAGACGATTAATTCTTTTGCAGAAATAGTTTACTACATATAAACAGTTATCAGTATAATTAAAATAATAATATATAAATGTACACTTTTGATTACAAACCCGATTATGTCAAACTGTGCAAATGTTAAAATAATAATATATAAATGTACACTCTCGATTACAAACCCGATTAAATATTTGTTTTTTTTTCAGTATAATTATTATTTATGTTGTTTTTTTGTAACAAAGACAGGTAACAAATAAATCGACACTTAGGTAACAGATAAATCGACACCTAGGTAGCCAATATATAACTCACAGGAGCTCGATCCACTCCAAATTTCCCATCTTTTTCCACCTTTTCACTTTTTCTCACCTTTGACTTTGACTCTGAATCATTAACAACCCCTAAAATCCCCTTTTGTCTCAAACTCCCCCAAGAAACAACTGCTTTTCGTTTCATCTTATGCTCCCACACAACACTATCCTTATCCCACCTTTTTACCTCATTAAGCAACAGACTTTCATTCTCTTTCACATCATCTTTTATTCTTGGAACAAAAAATTCCGGTTTTGCCCTTGTCACCACCATTCTTGGAACACCCAACACGTTCACAAACGAAGAAGGAGCATCATGTATTTTTTTTCCCATTTGAAGATGAAAAGCAGACAAGAAAACATCCTTAACATTTCTCATGTGGGTTCCCGTTTGACTTTGACTTTGACTACTCAAGGTCCTACTACCTTTTGAATGTCCAACCACTACATGATCTGTTTTAGGCCTTAAAGATTCCACCTTTTTGTCTTCTAACATTCCGAGAATTGAAGAGAATGAAAACTGACCTTTGATGGAGATGGAGGGTAGGATATTAAGGGGTGGGGTGAAGTTTTTTTTTTGGAGGGAGTTGACTTTTTTTGGACGGTCAACGGTTGCCCCTTCGACCCATCTGACCACGGTGATCCATGAAGTGCGATTTGGGTCGTATTCGATTCGTTCAACTACACCTACTAATGAAGTGTTGCGTTTTAGGTCAATTGTTCTTTATGACCGTTTTGCCCCACCCCCTCTGTGGAAAATTGTGATACAACCCCTTGAATTTCTACCTGCTGACTTGTCTTTACCTGTAACGAATTGCCTAAGTGGCCTTTCAGAGCTCACATTTTGAGCACCTGTAGGAATATGATAAAGTCAGTAAAACTATTTTTGTTTGGATAAATCATAGATGAATTTCATATATCAATATAATCGGTAATGTTCAAATCCTAAGCACCACATCTCTACAATCAAATTAAGAAAGTTGGAATGACATCTCTCTGGTACTAATTATCCATCTTGAATTGAAAATATGCAGCTTTAAATACCAATTTCTTTTTACTTTATCAACATATGATTCATTCTTTCAATATATTTGCATTTTTACATGTACAAATAAGTGTTTACTGAAATGTACATGAACAAAATCAACTCTTTTTATTTAAAAGAGTATATCATGGTCTAGGAATGCCAAAGAAAGTTTCGCTTCTGATGTCAAAAAGGTTGTTTCTTATTGTAAAATTGAAGTTAGGGTTCAACAAGAAGAACAACAAGCAAACAAATTCAAAAAGTCACTTGTTTCATCAGCAATTCATAAAACATGTGTTTTCGGCATTACTATTACCAAATTAACACTCTGAGAGAACCAATATCCCAACAAAGCTGAAACCTCAAAAACAGAACTTTGCCTTGGGTGATTGCCGATACCCTTAAGCATTTTGACCTTATACAAACGTGGGTTTTGAGGCTAGAGACACACAAACGACACTCGAACATGTAATAATTTGAAAGAGCTAGGTTTGACATCAAAACTAGAACAAAGAATCTGTATTTGCACATTAATTCCGACATCAAATTCAATCTTCATTGAGCCCCTTTTTCAAATTCATTTCTCTTGAACATGAAAATTTCAACTTCGAATTTACATTTAAAAAAAAAAAAAAAAAAAAAAAAAAAAAAAAAAAAACTTACGGCTGATAGAGTGCTTAGATCTCATCTGAAAGCTGCTAATCCTCAAAGTAATCTCAAATGAGTGGTGCGAGTGTAAAGGACAGAGGAGATAAAGAGAGAGCGTGGTGGCTTCCTGTTACCGAAAAAGTGTTGCAAGAGCATAGTAGGTGGCGGCAACGGGGATCAAATACAGATACAGTGAGTGGTGCGAGGTTGGAGAGTGGGTGGTGATTCACTACCGATGGTGATGATAACAATGAGTTAGGCGGACGAGGTGCGATGTCGGTTTTTCAAAATAGGGTTTTTGCTATTTGTTTGAGGGAAAATGAGAGTGTAGAGGACAGAGGAGAAAAACAGTATGTTTACTTTTTTGATTCAATTTATGAAACGTCAATGTTAATGTCATTAATTTGTCAAACGAAAATGTGAATATTTAATGCAATTAATTTGTAAAACGGAAATGTGATAGGAGTATTAAAAGGTATGAATAAATTGATTGTATATTACGCAGTAGGTGTAGTACCTATTAAATTTCAAAAAATGGGCAATATCCTTAATAATGTAGTATATATATATATATATATATATATATATATATATATATATATATATATATATATATATATATATATAGGCTTAGGTTATTCTATTCTAACTATTTATTGTGTAGATGTAGGGTTGATTGTGGACCATTCATTTTAGATATTTTAAGAAAATGATTAATAAATACTATTGAATTAAAAATAATTGAGAAATATCATCTAATTTCACTATAAGAGTATTTTAGTCAATTGAAATAAATTTAGAAAAGGAAAATTCCAAATTTTTGGGGATAAATAATTATCTTGATTTAAAATTCTGATTTTTTTAATTAATTCAATTTTAATTCTAACGTAATTTTTAATTATACATGATTTTATTCTGTCAGAATGACTTTCTGTTAGAATAATATTTTATAATAATAGCAAAATACACATTTTCTGATAGAATACATGTTTTGATTAAATGAATTTCTTGAAGAAAGATAACATCTTTGAACCATTAGTTGAAAAATAACATGATCATTGTTTACTCGTAGACACTTGAATACATTCATACATATTCTTATAGAATAATAGGTTATACATTTTAATACAACTATACATATTCTAATAGAATGTATTGCTAATCCATTCTAAACGAATTACATTTTATAAAAACAGCCTTATGCTTGGAGTTGCAGGAGGAGTTGAACTCAAGTATGGAAAATCCCTAGGAAAAGCTTGAAAAAATCGGTGTAAATTTGCCAAAAAGAACCCAAATCAATTTGAATTCCAGAACAGTACTACGATCTAGAACAAAAGTCAATGAAAACCTAAATCTTGGCAACGTAGTCTAATTTCAATACAAGATTCACAGAAAACCATAGACTATAGAAGTCGGTCGGGTGGAGTAACCCTAACATTGGACGCGAATAACCCAGAGATAACAAGTAATCGTAACTGATACCAAGAAGAAATAGAATTTAACTTACCAAGATTGCAGAAGATATTGAAAAGAACAAGATTAACGATAGAGATATAAATAAAAAGAAAACGCAGAAAGGTAGCTTACCGGAGAAGGATAGGGATGCTTAAAGGAGAATGGTCCAATCTCAATCAGCCCTAGGTTGATTTCCTTGCAAAAGATTCTCAAGAAATTGATAAAAAAAAAAAAAAAAAGGCTTACCTTTTTTATACCCGAAAAAGAGCAGAAATTTGATTAAAATTGAGAGGAGATTCAGATTTTGCAACAATTTTGGTTTTGTATTACATTCTGAAATTAGGGTACCGAAGTCTGGTTGTTCTAGATTTACGTTAACCTCCAAAGACTTTGATAACTTGAAGACGTATTTGAAAATAGAACATGATTATCGTGGATGAAAGTAGTGGTTTTAGGTGGCAATGGTGGTCGGACAGTCAGGAAGAATGCGTTGAAGATGGAGATTGTAGAAGTGTGGTGGTCGGTGGATTTTTAGAGAAAAAGGAGGAATGGGCGGTGATATTACAGAGGAATGGAAGGCGGTGTTACAGAGAGAACGAGTGTAGATAAAATAGGGAAAAAATTAGGTTAAAAGTCAATGATACTACCATGATTATAGGAAATATTTTTCTTTAAAACACTCGTTACTTATCTTAAGGCCAACAAAGTCTGGTAGTGCCTTCAAAACACACTTTACTGGTTATTTGGAGTTGTAAGAGCAATTTTAGTTAGCGACTTATCCAAGTGAGAGATTGTTGGATTAAAGTATCTAAAGTCCTAACTAAATTGGTATAATGTTGATGAATAAAAGTAAAGTCCTTTTTAGGTTTTCCTCATAACCAATAATTGTTTAGATTGATTGTAGGTGAGAGATAAATGATTTATTAACATATTAATTTGGAATTATTTCTAGGTTAATTATAATTAATTAAAAATTGAAGGACTATAGATGTAATTGTTCAAATGTTGAGCAAAGGATAGGTTCTAGAACCTTACTCTATTGGACGGTTTGGAAGCTCCTATTGGAGCATTTTGGAAGCCTTCATGAAGATAATCAAGGAACTAGATAACTACCTTTTTGAAATAATATTATTTTATGTTCAAATTAGGGTATCTATGTGTTTCTTAATCAGCTATAAATAGGGCCTTGAACCTAGGAATTTTTGGCCATGATATTCCTCATACTAGATCCAAAAGTATCCCCTTCTCTCCCATCTCTTCTAATCCTTCTAAGGTTCTTGTGTTGTGGGTGTGAACCATTATAGGCTTGAACACAATTGAAGCTAGTTTTCAAGAGACTATTTGTAGCACCTGGTTCCCGGTACGTATTTCTTGTAATTAATAATTCTAAATTCATGCATTTTTGCCTTGGACTCTGCGAGTTGAAGGACCGACTCGCCGAGTAGGAGCGGGATGAGACGCAAAGTCTGAGCCTTGGACTCGGCGAGTCGGTTCCCCGACTCGGCGAGTAGGCCCTGTTGGGCAAAAACCCTAACCCAAGTGTTGGCACCCTATTTAAGCACACTAACTTGGCCTCTGTCACAACTGTAAATTTTGAGCCGTGTAATCTATGCATTCAACCTAATGTGAATCAAAAACTTCAATCAAATACAAGTACTATAAGTAGTCATCAAACAATTGGAGACCCTAGAAGTTCTTGTTAAGTCCATTTAGGACTAGGACTTCCTTATTGGATCCAAATGGACCAATAAGCTTCCAATTGGACTATCATGGGTTTAGGACCCTAATTGGGCTCTAATTGGACCCACATTCGTTTATTTCAATATTTTGGGCTAAGTAGAACCTAGAATGAAATAAAACACAAGTTTTGATCCATAACTTAACCTAACCTAGCTTAATAAAGCATAAAAATCACAATTTTATTTTATAAGTCCAATAAATACCCTAAACTACCTCTAATGTTGGGCTTAGGGGCAAAAGCCCAAATTTTTCCTCTTTCCCTTCATATTCTCGGCCCAAGGCCCAAACACAAGGAGAGGTTGACTTTTAAGTGCCACCTCATTTTTACCCATGGGTTCTCCATGCAAAAATCACATTCATCCATGCAAGCATCACCTCAAAGTCTTTTCTTCCTTCTCTCTCTCTCTCCCTCTCCCTTCTTGTTTCGGCCGAGGATAACCAACACACACACACATCTCACAAATTCTCTCAAAAATTCTCTCAAGAAACTCTCTCCTTCCCCCCTCCAAAAATCTCGAAATTTAGGGACTTTCCAAGAGGATTTTGCAAGTAAATCATCATCTAAGGTAAGATTATGCATAGATCTATGGTTTAAATTCTTTTGTTATCAAAATCCTTTCCTAATCTATGCAAAAATCGTGATCTAGCATCCTAGAACTATCTCAAAACTCGAGATCTTCATCAAAGGGAGCCAAGGCCAAAAACACTTCATTTTTCCTTCCATTTCCTTGCAAAAAAAAAAAAAACCGAACCAACACCCCAAGGTGAGCTTCATACCCCCTATTTTCTGTTTTCACTTGTTTTTGGGGGGAGAATACAAGTCATATGTGTAGATCTATATGTATTTGTGTGCCTTGTATGATTTCCATGCTTATATGTATGCTTTTATGTGTTTTTATGTTGGATCTAGCCTCAAAACTCATCAAAACCGAGATGTAACTTGTGCTACATGATTTTAACTTCAAATATATTTCTAAACACTAAGTGCTTCAAGAAAAATTGGCTAAGTAGTTAATGATAATTTCTTTGGGTTAAAAACACAAATTTTGGGCCTAAAATGTGAAAAATGCAAAAATAAGGGTCCAAAACGACATTTCACAGATTCTGATGGATGAAGTGTGCTAAAACAGTTTTCATAAGTAAATTTCTGGAAATATACTCATTTAGTGGACTAAAATCATAAATTTTAAGCTTAATGGGCTAAAAATGTAATTTTCGGCCCAATAAGGCCCATTATGCAAATTTTTCTGTTTTGGAGGGCCAAAACCGTAACTTTCTGTAAAACAGTGGACTATAAGTGTTCCAACTCCTTTTCAAAGGTTAAAAACGCTTTTTAAATTTAAAAAGGACCAAAGTTGCAAAATTTTTCCAAATTGGGCCAAAATTGTAAAAGTTGCGAAAAGAAGGGGTTAAAACCGTAAAAACTGCATCTCCAGGAACTTAAACTGTTTTTATGAAAAATATGTTGAAAAATATTAATTTCAATAATTTTTGGTATTAAAATGTCAAGAAAAATAGTTTGAGGACTAAACCGGGAAGTATTTTATATAAAGGGTTAAAAATGTAATTTTTACAAATGATGAGGGGCTGAAAACAGAAATATTTCAAGGCTAGTTCAATATACACAATTTGATCAAATAATGGCATCGTGACTATCGACGAAATTCAATACACTACAATACCAAAAGTCGTTGTTAAACGAATTGGTTCGGTCTCGAACCAATAAAATCCGAAAACTACTAACACTACGACGCTATGACACTACGACACTACGATTCATACAACTAACGATTTGGAATTCACTATACATACGAGTGTGCACAGACGTCTACGCACCATCTTCGG